ACTCCAGAGCTCTAGACTGTGGTCTTATGGAACCTGTACATAACCAGGAACCAGTCCTTGAGGCAAAACAAGGAGACACTGCATGGTTTAAAACAGGAAAGGTATGTATGTTGTTGGACCTATAATGAATTCCAGGCCACCTGGAACATACTGTTCTTCCACCACAATCAAGAGCCCCGGTTGCATAGTGGTTAAGCCACTTATAGCCAAGAAAAGTGAGTTTAGAACCAGTTATGTGAAGTGTAGGTCTTAGAGGAACAACACAGTAGTGGCAAGGGAAAGGAAACCACCTTGATGCAGACCTGTCCTGTTTTAAACAATGCAGTATCCCCTGGTTGGTTCTGAAGGATTGGTTTCTAGTTTTGTACAGGTTCCATGTGACCACAGTTTAGAACTCTGGGATTCCAACTCTTCACAATGTTAGCCATAATTTTTTAAAGACCTACATGTAGAGTCAATGAACCACAGGTAAAAATTTCTCTGGTATTCACTTTATATAACTGTTTAAATTTCTCTCCTTTTTTGAAATTGGATATCTTTTCATATGTTTAAGGGATGATATTACTCCCTTTCTATGTGGTGTTATATGTTTATTTCATTTTTCAGTTTGGATTTTTCACTTCTTGATAGTTAAAAATATTTTATTTATAAAGGAAATTAGTGCTATATCTGAGATGTGATTTTTAATTTTGTCCCCATTTTATTAATTATATTGTGGCATTACTCTTAGGGTTTATTTTTTACATGTGGAACTATTTATTTTACATAGCAGATTTTTTTTTTTTTTTATCACTGGTGTTCTGTGTTCTAAAATTGTAGTCATAACTGTACAAATATTCCTTACTCACTCCAAAATTATATTTGAAAACAATTTTTCTTAGAATTATTATATTGTTCAATTTTTATTAAAAAAAATCAAATAAGGGTATCCTTTGGAGTATTCTGCATAGCATGAGATCTATCTGGAAAGATAAATTGAAAATCAGAGTGTGCCAAAGAGGTTTATTTAATGAGAAATTTAACTGTGTCAGGTGAAAAAGACCCCAGTAGAGAAGCTATTTTATCACTTAAGCAGCATTCCATATTTAAAATTAACAATGTTTTAACAGTATTATTAAAATTAAATTGAATATTGAGTAAGAAATGTGCTCTTTCATTAAAGCAGCTCCTATATTTTTCTGACCCTAATAAAGGTAATTTATCTTAAGCAATCATTTTAAGGAGTGACATTACATTACTTTGAAACACTGCAATTTTTAAAACCTATTATGTTTTTCTAAAAACACTAAATGATATTATAAGAAAACCATTTCCAGCAAAGGCCTTGTAGTAAGTCAGCATTATATTTATGTATTTTAGTTCTAATGATGTTTTAAGAACATATATAAAGTGAAACAATCTATGAAATAAATTTACAACCATTAAGGAATTCAATAAATACTTATTTAAGAGTGTATAATATTTTTAAGTTAAATAATGTTTTATACGATATTAAATTTTAAGTTCATATTATTTTTCAAATTAATTTCAGGATTTTTGTTTATATATATATATATATATATATATATATATATATATATATTCAAAATAGAAACATAGCTGAGTTTTAGGTGGATTGAGGACTTAACAAACAATTCTCACTCACAAAAATTCTCACAACTGGACCACTATACAAAGCCATGATAAACAGAGAAAAGATTGAGGTTGTCAGGGGTTTCATTTTACTTGAATCCACAATCAATTCCCAAAGAAGTGGCAGTCAATTTATCAAAAAACTATTGAGTTGGGTAAGTCTGCTTCAAAAGACATCTTAAAATGTTGAAAGGCAAAGATACCACTCTGAGGACTAAGGTATATTTGACCTAAGCCTTGATACTTCCAATCACCTCATATGCATGTGAGAGCTGGGCAAGTAATACACAAGATGAAAGATTAACTGAAGCCTCTGCAATATGCTGTTGCCAGAGTATTGACTATAACGTGCCGTGCCTGAAGGACAAATGAATCTGGCATGGAAGACGTGCAGCCAGAACGCACCTTAGAAATAGCATGAGGGGACTTCATCTAACGTACTTTGGACAAGTTATCAAGAGGGACCATTCTGGAAAAAGACCACATGCTTAGTAAAGTAGCAGGTCAGTGAAAAAGAAGAAGGCCTTCAACGAAATGGACTGAAACAGGGGTTGCAACGATGACAGTGAGGACGGAGCAGGGCCAGACAAAGTTTCATTCCGTTGTCCATGGGATCACCATCAACAACCGCTCAATAGCACCTTAAAACAAGTGATCGGTCTCTCTCTCTCTCTCTCTCTCTCTCTCTGTGTGTGTGTGTGTGTGTATTATTAAATGCTTTCATTCATAAAGAAATACATAAAGATTTGGTCTTTCATCCTCCTGTGAGTCTGAATTATTCTCTCCCTTTAAGAGTGATGCTTTCAATGTAATAATGTCTATTCCTCTTTTTCAGCTCAGAATAAAATCCTGAGTACCTTATTAGGTGTACCCATTTCCTGGGCTCTACATATACGTTAAGGAGCTCTGGTGGTGCTGTGGTTAAAGCACTGGGCTGCTAACCAAAAGTCAGTCACTGAAACCCACTAGCCGTTCTGGAGGAGAAAGATAAGGGAATCTGCTTCCTTAAAGATTTACAGCCTTGGAAGGTTTGAACTGCCTTTTAGGGTTGCTATGAGTCAGTCCTGGGAAGGAAGGTTGGGCAATCCTACTTCCATAGTGATACTGCCTCGGAAACCCAAGAAGGGGTCGCTATGAGTCGGGGCTGACTCGACGGCATATAACAACAAATGAGTCAGTATTGATGAGATGTCAATGAGTTTGTTCTTTTCATATTTATTTCAAGTAGGAAAATAGAGCCTTTATCTCTCAAACCACTTCTCACCAGTAAAAGAAAATGTTTACCAAGTGCATTTCCCTAATTGCAACTCTAAATGCTGAGCAGTGATGAGTACTATAGGTATAAGAGTCCACGGAGTAAAGATAAGGATATAAACCAAATGTTGGCAGAGAATTACGGAGAAATTGCAACTAGAAATGTGAATATTCTTTGGAGTTTTGTAACACTTGGACGATTGTATTTAATATCTCACTTCATTATCACAATAACCCTGAGACAAAAAAAGGCACATAAACTAGAGGCTATTGTTCACGTTAAAGAGAATACCGAGTAAAATTCAGAGGAAGAAATTAATATTAGTATAATAATAATAATAATAAAATAATAACAACAATAATAATAATAACAGGTAGAAATACCCACAGTCTTATAGAAATACTAGTATTTCTTTAAAGTGTTTCACTGATTTTAAATGATTTCATTCCCATAACGACACCAACTGCTTGTATAGTTGCTAACTTTTTTATAGCAAGCAACCTTGATGTGGCATAATTGATTAACTTGCATAAAGTCATAACAGAAATGGGTGTAGTTGAAGCTATAATTCAATTGCAGTCCATCTGGGAAATACTGTTCTAAGTAATTTGAAAGCATGGTGCCGAGACCTTGTTGCAGTGGTTGAACCCTTTGCAGCTAAGGAAAGGGAGGAGATTTGATATCTCCAGCAACTGCTCAGGAGAAAGATGTGGGAGCTGGCTTCCATTAAGATTTACAGTCATGGGAACCTTATGGGGGGTTCATGGGAACCCTGTGGGGGGTTCTGTCCAATAGGCTTGCTATGAGTTAGAATGAACTCCACAGCACAGCAACAGGTTTTCTTTCTTTTTTTTTTTTTTTTTAACAATGACAGCATGTTTTTGGAAGGCAAAATTTAGGATGCACTTCCTTCAGGATCAAGCTAGTGCAACGATAGCTGTGGATGTGCCCTTAAGTTGTGCACCTTAGGAGCCACCCTGACCTGTCCTGGTCCTGGCACTGATGAAAGGGAATGGTGGGAAAAATAACTGCCAACAAAGGAACTCAAAAACCCTTTGTCAAATACCTGTTTATTAAGACATCTGTAGCCCATATGCCAGGATTGCAAGTTTAAAGAACATACTGTCATAATCATAATTGTAGAACTATACTGATAAGCATTCAATTTAAAATTAGTAAGAAGGTGATAACTTTGACTGAGGTGATTAAGTTCTCACACAAAAAATAAATCTTTGAAACTTTATATAACTGCTTAATATCACCCAGGTAATAAATCTTGGGGATTAAGTCAAATTCAAGGTCAATTAAAAAAAGATACTAACTTATAATCAGAAAACCTATGTTGATTGGGCAAATTATCTAAACTTAATGAGTCTCAATATGCTTATGTGTAAAGAAAAGTGAGTTTACCAACACTTATCTGCAGTGATGTTTTATAAGGAACACCAAAATAATGGTGGCTGTACACAGAACAATGGGCACAAAATAACAGCCAGTATCTTTCCTCCTCCTGCCCCACACACATGTGGATGTGAAACAATTCCCCTCCATGCTACCAGTGTTCTTCCAGGCTAATGCACTTATTGTTCATATCTGACTGAATATTCCCAGGCTAAATTCCCTAAGAAAAATTCTTTAATCCTACCCACTTAATGTCCTATAGAAAAAGCTTATATTCCACTATACAAAATGAAATATTATCACAATTTGTTTTCTAAGATATCTACTTGAACTGAGAAAATGTTTAGAGAAGTACAACAGGATTGTCAAAATGAGCAATTCATTTATGATGAGGTTAGATGGCGAAGCTCAGGGTCCATGCCCAACACTGCCAATTGCTCCAGGGCCCGTGATGAGTATGGGAAAACTTCATTGGTCCTGGGCTGTGTTGCTAAAGGATAGTGAAATGATCCTGAAAAGAAATAAGGGGACAATTAACTCTGACTTAACAGGAGGGCATGGGACATACATAAATATTATCATTCTAAAGGTGAAAACAACTTCAGTGATCGTAAAACACAATATGGACACCTGAACACGATACAGTTTGTAGGGAAGGCAGTGACCCCAGAAAGTAAAGGGAAATGCACATGTAAATGTACTTTTTCCACAGATGAAGCATCAAGAAAAACCCACCGAAGAAAATCGAACTCAATGGATGGAATTTGTTCTCGTGGGTTTTGCTGATATGCCCCGTCTCCAGTGGTTTCTTTTTGGATTATTTTTAATCATCTACATTATCATTCTGGTAAGCAATGGAACCATATTTCTAATAACAAAAATGGATTCTGCTCTCCAGAGCCCTATGTATTATTTCCTGGCAAATTTTTCCTTCTTGGAAATCTGCTATGTGTCAGTTACTCTCCCCAGAATGCTGATGAATCTTGCGACCCAGAGAAGAACAATTTCCTTAATTGCCTGTGCTATACAGATGTATTTTGTCCTTATATTTGCAAGCACAGAGTGTTCGCTGCTGACAGTGATGGCCTATGACCGCTACGTGGCCATTTGTAACCCTCTGCACTATCCTCTAGTCATGAACCACAGGGTTTGTATCCAGTTGGTGTCTGTCTCATGGATCCCTGGGATCCCAATTCAGATCGGGCAGACATGCCAGGTTTTCTCCCTGAATTTTTGTGGATCTAACCAAATTGACCACTTCTTCTGTGACATGCCCCCAGTATTCAAGCTGGCCTGTGGGGACACCTTTGTCAATGAGATGTTGCTCTGCATAGTTCTCGTGTTCTATGGCATGATTCCATTGCTGCTGATAGTTGGCTCCTACACTAAGATCATCTCCACCATCTTGAAGTTGCCATCAGCCACAACTCGGGCCAAAGCCTTCTCCACCTGCTCATCTCATCTTACAGTTGTGGTGTTATTTTTTGGATCAGCCATCATCACGTACTTAAGACCCAGTCACTCAGGGGGGGCTAGCAAAGTGCTTTCTCTTTTCTACACAATCCTAATTCCTATGCTTAATCCTATGATCTATACTCTAAGAAACAAAGATGTCATAATGGCACTGAGGAAATTACTATGTATATAATTCACTTCACAAAAGAAAGTTAAACTTATGAGAATTTCTTTCTCATGTATGTTTAACCAAATTTGCACACATGTAGAAACTAATTATACATTGTCTTTCCATGCAGTGGACTATTTCTAAATTAAAAATTACTTGAATTCTGTCAGACTTTTTTCTCACCTAATGTAAGTTATGCATTCATCAACAGATTGCAAATCATTCCATTAATAACACTATAATTTTATTGTACAAGTTCTCCTTCAACAAGAAGTTTTATAGGGGTTGATTTAGTTTAGACAGTTGCAGTGTATAAACTATTATATCACCTATTGGCAACTATGTCATTTATTTTCTTTAGTTTTCATACGATATGACACTCTTTTTAAAAATCAAGTTGACAATATGCTTTAATTTGAACTATGTTTACATTTTGCCCTCATACTGATTCTCCAGGTAAACCATTCTTTTAAGGGAACAGAGCACTCAAGTACAATGAGGATGCATTTTGTAAATTGTGATGGCTCACCAATGCCATGGAACATTAGGTATGACTTACATGTATCAGGTTAAATATTTCTATATAGTATAGTCCAATGATTTCATAAATAGATATTATTCAACTAAGACTAAGGTGTGCCTGACACAAGCCAAGGCATTTTCAGTCACCTCATATGCGTGTGCCAGTTGGATAATGAATAAGGACGACCAAAGAAGAGTTGATAGTTTGGAGTTGTGGTATTGGTGAAGAATACTGTAAGTACCAAAGAACTAATAAATCTTTCCTGGATGAAGTGCAGCCAGAATGCTCCTTGGAAGCGAGAATGGCCAGACTTTGTCTCACCTACTTTGGTCATGTGGTATGAAGGGACCATTCCCTGGAAAAGGATACCATGCTTGGTAAAGTGGTGGGCCAATGAAAAAGGGGAAGGCCCTCAACAAGATGGATTGATACAGTGGCTACAATGACGTGCTCAGGTGTAGTGAGGATTGTGGGGCTGGCACAGGACTGGGCAATGTTTCATTCTGCTGTACATAGGATTGTTATGAGTTAGAGACAACTAGATGGCACCTAATAATAACATTCAACATTTACATCTAGCTAGAAAATTGTGAGTTATTCACATGTTTTTGTTTTTGTATTCTTTTGTTTTTAGTTTTCTAGAGTTGATAGAAGGGATAAGAAAACCATGAGTGTGGGAATTGTATGGTAAATACCATGTCTTGGGGCAGGCACATCTTAGATCTCAAAGTGATGTCTTTGCTTTTGGACTTTAAAGAAGTCCTTTGTAACAAATTTACCCAGTGCAATATGTCATTTGATTTCTTGTCTGCTGCTTCAAAGGACTTTGGTTGTGGACCTCCTGGTCCATGTACAGCTTCCCCATGAGTACAATTAAGTGTTCTGGAATCCCCATTCTTCTCAAAGTTATCTATGATTTGTTATGATCTACACAATTGAATGCATTTGCATAGTCAATAAAACACAAGTAAACATCTTTCTGGTATTCTTTTATTTGAGCCAAGATCTATCTGACATTAGCTACAATATATCTCACTCCACATCCCCTTCTGAATCCAGTTTGCATTTCTGGGAGTTCTCTGTCAATATACTTTTTGAATTATCTTCAGTAATATTTTACTTGTGTATGATACCAATGATATGGTTTGATAATTTCCACATTCTGTGAGATCACCACTCTTAGGAATGGGTGTAAATATGGATCTCTTCCAGTCAGTTCACCAGGTAGCTGTCTTCCAAATCTCTTGGCATAGCCAAGTGAGTGCCTTCAGTGGGGCATCATTTGTTGAAACATCTCAATGGGTATTCCATCAATTCCTGGAGCTTAGTTGTTTTGTTTTGTTTTTGTCATTTCCTTCAGTGCAGCTTTGACTTGTTCCTTTAATGCCACTGGTTCTTGATCATATGCTACCTCCTGAAATGGATGATCATCTATCAGTTCTTTTTGGTACAGTGACTCTGTGCATCCATCTTCTTTGGATGTTTTCTGCATCATTTTGATGTTTCTGGAACTGGTAGGGAATGGCCAGAACTGGTGGGCAAGGCCAAGAAGCAAGAGTGGATCAATTTGGAACAGCTAAGGGAGATGAATTCATCTGTCAGTTTGTCATCCTGTGGTGGCTTGTGTGTTGCTGTGAGGCTGGAGACTGTGCCACCAATATTTCAAGTGTCAATAGGGTTAGCCATGGTGGACTTGTTTCAGTGGAGCTTCTAGCCTAAGACAGACTCAGAAGAAGAAAGAGGCCATTCACTTCTCAAAGAATTGGCCAGTGAAAACCATGAATTGTGGTGAAATCCTGTCTGATATATTACCAAAAAATAACCTGAAACATTGATATAATGCCAGAGGATGAGCCCTTCAGGTCAGAAGGCACACAAAATATGACTAGGAAAGAACTGCTTACTCAGAATGTTGTTGTTGTTGTTGTTATGTGCTGTCAAGTAGGACCCGACTCATAGTGACCCCCCCTTGGGTTTCCGAGGCAGTATCACTACGGAAGTAGATTGCCCCATCTTCCTTCCAAGGGGTGGCTTGTGGGTTTGAACTGCCAGCTTTCTGGTTAGCAGTCAAGTGCCTTAGGCACTACACTACCAGAGCTCCTCAGAATAGAGAAGACATTAATGATGTCGGTGGAGTAAAACTTTCAGGACCTCCTTTTGCTGATGTGGCACAACTCAAGATCCGAAGAAACACCTGCAAATATCCATTAATAATCAGAACATGGAATGTATGAATTATGAAGCTGGGGAAATTGGAACTTGTCAAAAATGAAATGGAACACATAAAGGTCGATAACCTAGGCATTAGTGTGAGCTGAAATAGACTGGTTTTGGCTATTTTAAATCAAACAACCATATGATCTACTATGCCAGGAATGACAAATTGAAGAGGAATGGTGCGGTATTCATCACACAGAATGTTTCAAGATTTATCCCAAAGTACAATGCTATCAGTGACAAGATAATATCCATGGGCCTATGAGAAAGACCAGTTAATATTGCTATTATTCAAATTTATGCACTAACCACCAAAGTCAAAGATGAGGAAATTGAAGATTTTTACCAGTTTCTGAAGTCTGAAATTGACCAAACATGCAATCGAGATGTGTTAATTATCACTGGTGATTGGAATGAAAAAGAAGGATCACTAGTAGTTGGAAAATATTGTCTTGGTGATAGAAATGACACTGGAGAGCACATGATAGAATTTTGCAAGACCAAAGACTTATTCATTGGAACTTTTTTTTCAGCAACACAAATGGCAGCTATGAATGTGGACTTCACCAGATGTAGTACACAGGAATGAGACTGATTACAACTGTGGCAAGAGAAAATGGAGAAGTTCAATATCTTCAGACAAAACAAGGCCAGGAGCTGATTGTGGAACAGACCATCAACTGCTCATATGCAAGTTCAAATTGAAATTGAAAACAATTAAAACAACTCCATGAAAGCTGAAAAGTGACCTAGATTTTATCCCTCCTGAATTTAAACACCACCTAAAGAATAGATTTGGTGCATTGAACACCAGTGACTGAAAACCAGAAGAAATTGTAGGATGACATCAAGAGCATCATACATGAAGAAAGCAAAAGGTCATTAAAAAGACAGGAAAGGAAAAAAAGACCAAAGTGAATGTCAGAGGAGACTCTGAAACTTGCCCTGGAGTGGAGCTTAGCTAAAGGAAATGTAAGAAATGTCAAGAAAAAAGAGCTGAACCGAAGATCAAAGAGCAGCTTGAGAAGACAAAATCACTTATTACAATGAAATGTGCCAAGGGCTGGAGTTAGAAAGCCAAAAGGAAAGAACACTCTTGGCATTTCTCAAGCTGAAAGAACTGAGGAAAAAATTTAAGCCTCGAATTGCAATATTGAAAAATTCCAATATGGGAAATATGTTGAATGATTGCAAATCTAGTCTTGAAATTTTTCTTCAGTTCTTTCAGGTTGAGAAATGTTTAGTGTGTTTTTCCCTTTTGGTTTTCTAACTCCAGGTCTTTGTACATTGCATTATAATAATTGGCTTTGTTCTCTAGCTGCTTTTTGAAATCTTCTGTTCGGCTCTTTTTCCTTGTCATTTCTCCCATTTGCTTTAGCTACTCTCTGTTCAAAGGCAAGTTTCTGAGTCGGTTCTGACAACCATTTTGGTATTTTCTTTTTTTCCTGTCTTTTTAATGCCCTTTTCCTTTCTTCATGCATGGTGTTATTTATGTTACCACATAAGTAACATAAATAATATAAAATCACCTGGTTTTCAGTCATTGGTGTTCAATGGGTCAAATTTATTTTTCAGTTGGTCTCTAAATTCATGTGGGATATAATCAAGGTCATATTTTGGGTCTCATGGAATTGTTTTAATTGTCCTCTGCTTCAACTTGAATTTGTGTAGTAGCAATTGATGGTCTCTTCCACAGTCAGTTAGTGGCCTGGTTTTGACTGATGATATTGAGTTTCTCTATCTTCTCTTTCCACAGTCAATGTGATCTCCGTGTATTCTATCTGGTGAGGTATGTGCATATAGTCACCATTCATGCTGCCAATAAAAAGTATTAGCAATAAATAAATCTTTGTTTATTAGTCCAGTTGTGTACATTTTTGTTGTCATTCTTTTAAGATGTTATCCATACTGAAGGCTTTAGTCTTTGATTTTCACCAGTAAGTGCTTTAAGTCTTTGCTTTCAGCAAGAAACATTGTGTCTTCTACATACTATGTAGAAGTGGATAAGGAATCTTCCTCCAGTCCTGATGCCACATTCTTCTTCATATAATCCAATTTCTTGGATTATCTTCTCATACAAATTCAGTAAATATGGTGTAAAAATACAGCCCTGATGCACATCTTTCCTGATTTTACCACGCAATATTCCCTTGTTCTATATGAGCAACTGCCTTTTGGTCTATGCACAGTTTCCTCATGAGTACTACCCTGTTTTGAAATTTACATTCTTCACAAACTCATTATGTGTGTGTGTATGTGTGTGTGTGTGTGTGTGTATGCATGTATATGTGTAATCACATATAGTTTCCAGCATTTAAAACAAGAAAAGAAACTTCCGTTTATGGTTGAGATTGAGGTGTCACAGCAAGCCACTATTCTTGCTTCAACCACTAAGAAAATTGGGCACATTTAAAAAATATATTTTTAAAGGCATAAAATAACTATGAAAGAAAAATAAGGAGGAAAATATTAAAATGAAAATTTATTAAATCAGATAAAGACAACCCACATACTGATTCACACTTAATTGGGTTACAATTTTTTGTAATTATAAACGTGAAAAGTTAATTAAAATTTATCTTTTTTCCTCAAAGACTATCAAATTAACCCAGTAATATTTATTTTAAAAATCCATATTTCTCCTATTTCATTTGCTGTCTTTATTATAATGAGATCTGTTGCTATAGTGGATAAGGCATTTGGTTGCTAACCAGAAGATTGGCAGTTCAAACCCACCAGCTACTCCATGGGATGTAGATGAGGAAATGTCCTGCTGAAAAGATTTACAGCCTTCAAAATCTAATGGAGGTTGCTCATAGTTGAGATCAACTGGATGGCAGTGGGTTTTGTTTTTTATCTTTATTATAGGATAAATTTTAATTTCTAATTGAATCTTCTTTTTATGACAACAGAAGATTATGCTATGTGCGCACAATGAAACATTGTGCATTTATGAGACTTTAGAATTAAATTTTAGCTTAGTTATTCTGTGATGTTCACCTACTGTAGCTTAGGCCTGGCACCTTCCATGTTTTCAAGATCATAGTACCTGATACTTTTCAACTAATTTCCCTAATAACTTTCTGTTATTATAATATCATAGGGTATTTTTCTCCTGGAGACAGAAAGAGAGAGAGAGAAATGAATAATACATATATACATACACATATAGATAGATAGATAGATATAGATAAATGATAGATAACTATACCTTTAGTCTTGTAGTAGAAATATATATATATATATACACATTCTATGACTAACCTCAAGGTTGGAGACAATTATAAACCCTTAGAATTCATTATTTTCAAAATAATAGGAGGTGACATCTTATTTTCACAACAGGAAACTGGGCTTCAGTCTAAGATTCTCACTTTTACTCACATTTGATGTTTCACAGGGGAAGTATTTTATAAGAATAGGAAGACTATTGTTTTAGAATCTTGTCTCATCTAAGCAGGAATTATATCAGAACATTATTTTCTCCTAAGTGAAGTTTAGTAAGATTCATATCTTAAAAGTGGATTCACGGAGGGAATGAAATCAAGGAGGGATGATGGAATGCTACAAGAGGTTAATTTTGGGTCAAAAAGGAAAAACTGTTTTTGAACTAGATCTAATATATCCAATAGCTAGTTCCCAGTTTCCCAGGTGGTCTTGGGATATTAAGTATATAGTATATACTTTATAGGTAAAAATATTATTTATTGTCAGACCATTTATTTCAACTCTTATACTGGCCAGCCCCTAGATTTGGATCAAGGCACAAATTTCAGAGGATAAAGTAAGCAAAATAACTTCAGGAAAATGCGACAGCTAGTCTAATAGGAATAGTATGCCCATATGAAGCAGTCATAATAGATGAGGAGAGAATTGGACTTGTTTCAATTTTAGATGGCCTCCAATGATATAGCTCAGTTAAGGGCAATCCAGGGCCTTAGTTAAGTCTAAGAAATAAATGTTCTTTGCATCCCACTGCATTGAGAGTCTTCAGAGAAAGGGTATTATGGGTGGAGTCAGAGATAAGTGGGAAAATAAAAAAATAAAACAAATCAGAGAATGTCAAAGTGATTTGTTTAATTAGAAATTTAAGGGCATTTGTGGAAGAGATCCCAGTAGAGATAACTATTTTCTTTTTAAAGAACACTCCAAATTCAAAATAAACAGACTGTTTTAAAGGTTGTTTGAATACCTTTGATGAAACAAATTTTTTTCAGCCAAAGTAATGTAAATACTTAAATACATAAACCTTCTTCGATGAGAAAGAAACAAAATAACCCAAGACCTAAACTCACTACTATCAGATAAATTCTGATTCATTGCAACACTATAGGACAGAGTAGAACAGCTCCATACAGTTTCCAAGACTGCAAATCTTTATGGAAGCGGACTTCACACCATTCTCCCATGGATCAGATGGTAGGTTTCAACGTTTGACCTCTCAGTTAGCAGCCAAGTTCTTAACTACTGTGCTACTAGGCTCCTATTTTCCTAAATAACAAAAGTCAATATGAAATGCTTTATATTATTATTCAACTTCAGTTCATGATATTAGTAAAATCAGTAAGTATTATAGTTACAAATGTGTTTTATTAAAGCAACTCCTATATATTTCTGATTCTATTCAATGTAAATTATCTTAAACAGTGATTTTCAATTGTGACATTAAGTTACTTTTAAACACTGAAAATTTGAAAAACTGCTAAGTTTTTGTGAACACATTAATAATATTATATGAAATCTTCATTTCCAGCAAAGTTTTAGCAAATGAACATATTATTTATGTATTTTAGTTAAAATAATATTTTAATACGATATTTAAAGTAAAAATATATAGAGAAATATTTATGAAATGAAGTTACCATTGATAAATAGAGGAAACATTTATTTTAAGGAAAATAATATTTGTAAGTTAAGGAAATCATAAATCAACAAAGAAAATTTGAAGTACACATTGCTTCTCAAGTTAATTACAGGGTTTATGTCTTAATTTATTTTAAAAAATAAAAATATAGCTGAAGTTTAACTAGATTGGGGATCTTGACAAAAATTGTTGTTGTTGTTGTCATGTGCCATCGAGTCAGACGCGATTCATAGCGACCCCTCCTTGGGTTTCCGAGGCAGTATCACTATGGAAGTAGATTGCCCCATCTTTCTTTCAAGGAGTGGCTGGTGGTTTTGAGCCAGCAGCCTTCTGGTTAGCAGTCAAATGCCTTAGGCACTACATCACCAGAGCTCTGTTTATCCAAAATTAGTGAGTTAACCTGTAACAAGGGGCATCATTGCTGATGTCAAATGGATCTTGGCTCAAAGTAAAGAATACCAGAAAGATGTTTATTATGTTTTATTGACTATGCAAAGGCATTTGATTGTGTGGATCATAACAAATTATGGACAGTATTGCAAAGAATGGGAAATTCAGAGTACTTAATTGTGCTCATGAGGAACCTGTACATAGACAAAAAGGCTGCCATTCAACAAGGAAAAGGGGATACTACATGGTTTAAAATCAAGAAAGGTGTGTGGCAGGGTTTTTTATCATTTCACTATACTTATTCAGTCTGTATGCTGAGCAAATAATCCAAGAATATGGACTCTAGGAAGAACTTGGCATCAGGACTGGAAGAAGACTCATTAACAACCTGCAATATGCAGATAAGAAAACCTTAATGGCTGGAAGTGAAGATAATTTGAAGCACTTACTGATGAAGATCAAAGATTACAATCTTCAGTATGTATTACACTCCAACATAAAGGAAACAAAAATTCTCACAACTGGACCAATAAGCAACACCATGATAAATGGAGAAAAGAACGAAGTTGCCAGAGATTTTGTTTTACTTGGATTCAAATCAACAATCAATGAAGCAGCAGTCAAGAAATCAGGGAATGTATTGCACTGGGCAAATCTGCTGAAAAAGACCTCTGTCAAGTGTTAAGAAGGAAAGATGTCACTTTGATGAATGAGGTGCTAGCATAGTACCTAAGGCACTTGACTGCTAACCAGAAGGCTGGTGGTTCAAACCCACCAGTCACTCCTCCAAAGGAAGGTTGGGCAATCTACTTCTGTAGTGATACTGCCTTGGAAACCCAAGGAGGGGTCGCTGAGTTGGGTCCAACTCGATGGGACCTAACAACAACAACAACACAAGCATGGCATTTTCCATCACCTCATATACTTGTGAAAGCTGGACAATGAACGAGGAAGACTGAAGAACAGTTTATGCCTTTGAATTGTGGTACTGGTGAAGAATGCCAAAAATACCACAGACTGCCAAAAGAATGAACAAATCTGTCTTGGGAGAAGTGCAGTCAGAATGCTCCTAAAAGTGCGAATGGTCAGACTTTGTCTCATGTACTTTGATCATTTTGTCAGAAGGACTATTCCCTGGAGAAGATATCATGCCCAGTAAAGTAGAGGGTCAGCAAAAAAGGGGGAGACCATGAAAGAGATGTATTGATTCAGTGTCTGCAAACATGGGCTCAAGCATAGCATGGATTGTGAGCATGGACAGGACCAGGCAGTGTGTCCTTCTGTTACACATAGAGTTGCTGTGAGTCAGAGCCAACTTGACAACACCAACAACTCAACAACTAACAACAGTGAATGTCAATGTGCTTATATCTAAAAGAAAATGAGTTTAGAAACACTTATCTGAATCGTTGATTTTATAAGAAAACAAAATAATTCCTGGTGCAAACAAAATAATGGAAAAAGCAGTCTTTACTCCTCCTGTCCCACTCACATCATATGCAGGTAAGAAATACCTTTGTACTATGTCGATTTTCCCAGGTTTACTATATTTATTTCTCATTTCTTAAACGATATTCCCAGTCTAATTTCTTGGAATACAATCCTCTTACTTTTCATTCCACTATGCAAAATGAAATATTCTCTCAATTCTCTTTTTAAACTGTCTACTGTATACTATTAGGAACCTATCTTCTTAAAACTGTCGGATGATGCAATTATGAATTGTTGCAGTAGGCTGTTGAATATATATGTTTACTAAAGCTTAGCTTGATCTATCCTTGGCTCCAAAGATATAGTGACATTATCATAATAGAAATTTGAGGGGTCAGTTTAATAAAAGGACATGGTACATTCATAAATATTATTATACTTAAAGTGCTACCAATTGCAATCATCATAAAACTCATTCCAGACACCTCAGTACGATTTGTAGAGGAGGCAATGAGATACACGAAGGTGAAGGGAGAGACACATGTAAATTTACCTTTTCCACAGATGAGTCATCAAGAAAAACTACAAGAAGAAAATCTAACCCAACTGATGGAATTTGTTCTTCTGGGTTTTGATGAGATTCCCCATCTCCAGTGGTTTCTTTTTGGACTATTTTTAGTCATTTATATTATTATCCTGATGAGCAATGGCATTATATTTTTAATAACAAAAATGGATCCTGATCTCCAGAGCCCCATGTATTTTTTCCTGGCAAATTTTTCTTTTTTGGAAATCTGCTATGTATCAGTCACTCTCCCCAGAATGCTGGTGAATCTTGGGACTCAAAGAAGAAGAATATCCTTAGTTGCCTGTGCTACACAGATGTCCTTAGTCCTTATATTAGGAAGTACAGAATGTTTGCTTCTCACTGTAATGGCTTATGACCGCTACGTGGCCATTTGTAATCCTTTGCACTATCCTCTAGTCATGAACCATAGGGTCTGTATCCAGTTAGTGACTGGCTCCTGTATACCTGGACTCCCAATTCAGATAGGGCTGACATATCAGATTTTCTCTCTGCCTTTCTGTGGATCTAACCAAATCAATCACTTCTTTTGTGACTTCCCCCCAGTATTCAAACTGGCCTGTGGGGACACATTTATGAATGAGATGTTGCTCTACATAGTTGTTGTCTTCTTTGGCATGATTCCATTTCTCTTGATCCTTGGCTCCTACATTAAAATCATTGTCACCATCCTGAAGTTGCCATCAGCCATAACTCGGGCCAAAGCTTTCTCCACCTGCTCATCTCATCTTATGGTTGTGCTGCTATTCTTTGGAACAGCCATCATTACATACATAATACCTAAGTCTAGTCACTCAGAAAGAACTGACAAAGTGCTTTCTCTTTTCTACACCATCTTAATTCCTATGTTTAATCCCATGATATATAGTCTCAGAAACAAAGATGTCAAAATGGCACTCCAGAAATTGCTATGTAAATAATTCACTTCAGTAAAAAATAAGTTAAATGCATAAGAATTGCTTTCTCATGTATTTTAATCACATTCCAACAGATGCATATGTTTAACTAGACCTTTTCTATCCATTTAGTGACATTTGTTTCCAAATTAAAATTACTTGTAATATTATCAGACATTTATGATCAAGTTATATAAATGACACATATATCAGCAGAAGGAAAATCATTCCATTAGTAATTCCATAATTCCATGGCTTAATATCCTCCTTCAATAAGAACTTTCACATTGGCTTATTTAATTTAGTCAATTGTCATGCATAATCCGTTATATCACCTATGGGAAACCATAGCATTAAAGTCCTTTAATGGACATACAGTTATGAGATTTATTAAAAATCTGATTGGCAATATGCATTAATTAAAACTATACATACATTTTGACTTCACAGTGACACTCCAGGGAAACCATTCCTCAGAAGGAACAGAGCATCTTACAATGAGGATGTAGTTTACAAAGTATGATATTTTATCAATACCATTAACATTAGGCATAAGTTATGCATATATGAGGTTAAAAATTTCTATACAATACAAGGAAGTTCTGGTGACATAGTGCCTATGACATTTGACTGCTAATCAGAATACTGGTGGTTCAAACCCACTTGCCACTCCTTGGAAGAAAGATTGAGCAATCTACTTCCATAGAGATATCCTCAGAAGTAATTAAAAAGTTTTTATTTTTCTTTGTTGTATTTTTAGTTTTCAAGAGAGGAGTGAGGGTATACATTTAAAAATAAAAGATATATATCAGCTATACAAACAAGAAATATTACTCACATACCTCTATATACACCCAGACAAAATAATTGAAGAAAAAAAAAAAAGAACGGAAATATATAATTTGAATTATGAATATTCCACAGTCCATTGTATATTATTTTTCCTTTATTTTGTCTTAATTTTTGATGCTTATAACAATGAACCTATGTTATCCATGTAATCAAGAAAATGAAACAATAAATCTGCATTGATGAGCATAACAAAAGTGTTTTGTTGCTTGTGCTGTTTCCCTACATATATTGCTGCAAATAGCCTTATTCCCTTTCAATATTTTAAGCTTAGTAATGAATCTTTCTTATAGAAAGGCAATAGATCTCAAAATAAATCAATAAATAACAACACACAATCAGTCGGTAAGAGTTGAAGTTTAAACAGATTATCGTGAATCTCTCGACTGCTATTCAAGTTTTTTCCCAGAGGTAAAGGAAGTCAGTGATGCCCATATTTTCATGGACACACCTAGTTCCAAGTGGGGAGGGAAACAAAGTACAACTTCCTACTCAGAACAAGACAGACTCCCGACTCAGTCTGCAGTTACTAACAAAATGCTTAGAAATGGAGACTCAGAGTGTCCTAATTTGAACATTAAAACTAGAGCCAATCCAACCCATTGTCATCGAGTGGATTCCAACCCACAGAGACCATATAGGACAGAGCAGAACTTCCCCACAAAGCTTCCGAAGCTGTAAATCTTCACAGAAGCAGACTGCCATTTCCTTCTCCTGCATAGTGGTTGGCGGTACCAAATGCCAGCTTTTGGTTAGCAATCTCATGTTCTAACCACTGTGCATCAGGGCTCCTTAAAACTAGAACAGTTTATGTTAAATAGCTTCGAGTTTTGGCTTATTAGGATATTTATGAATAATTAGCAGATTTTACCTCTAGTTTATGGTAAATTTCACATAAATAAATCAATAATAAGAGATTAGAATAGATAAGATTAGATTAATTTAAATATAACTTGTAAGCAGGTAGTGTTAAACATCTTCAATGTGCATGTAATGTAACTCTTTGTAATAAGTAATAATTAGTAATTATGTGTGAATCTTTGTTTTAACTTTTCTATCTCCCTTTCTATGTTTCAAACACGTCCCTTCAAATTGTTGTTGTGGTTAGGTGCTACTGAGTACAACGGAACGAAACACTGCGTGGTCCTGCACCATTCTCACAGTCATAGCTATGTCTGAGCCCATTGTTGCAGCCAGTGTGTCAATCCATCTCATGGAGGGTCTTGTTTGCTGACCCTTTACTAAGCATGGAGAAATTCTGGTGGCATAGTGGTTTAAGAATTGGGGTGTTAACCACAAGATCAGCGGTTCTAACCCACCTGCCACTGCAAGGGAGAAATATTAAGTTACTTCTCTAAAGATTTATGGTTTTGGAAACACTATGGGATAGCTCTACTCTGTCCTCTGGGGTCACTCTGAGTCGGAATCAACCCAATGGCAGTGGGCTTGTTGTGGTGTTATTTACCCAGGGTAATGTCCTCCTCCAGAGATTGGTTCCTCCTGATAACATGTGCAAAGTAAAAACAATTAAGTCTGCTCATGCTGTTTTTAAGGAGAATTCTGTCTACATTTCTTCCAAGATTTTTTTTTTTTTTTTGTCGGAAAATGCCTTTACTTAATACTTGTTATTTTATTATTTTCTTTTTTAAGTGCACTTTGGGTTCAAATTTAAAAAGGAAATTTGTTTTACATTCAACAGCTTAAACACATCTGATTTCAAGTCCCCAATTACCATCCTCAGCCATAAATATTTTATGTATGGGAGACTGAAGCTGGAGTAAATTCAGTCCTTGCCAGGTGCTCAATCAAGCTGAATTGGCTCACACACCCTGAGTACTTCAGAGGAAAGAAAGATAATTTATTACGATGGGCATGGTAGGAGACAGGGGCCAATACTCAAATCTGACTTCCTGAGCCAGAGTTTGGGGACAGTATTTATAGGGTTCAAAAAATGAGAGTTATACATATTCAGACACATTCCAGGAATTTGGGCATGAATTGGTAAGAGATTGGGTAAAGTTCCTTTTGCTTAGGTTTAAAGGAACAGTCAGTTTTTAATGCAGTACACTTGCACACTAGATGAGTTTCACTAACTTCCTGACATCAGCTGATCAGGGCTTAGGCTGAGGAGGAGATATTTTCCCCAACAACTTCGTTCAGTTTTGTCTCAATGAGCATGTCCATGTCCATGGGCCAAAATTGATCTGAGCTGGTTTTAATCAATTTCAAGCTTATCTCATCTGGGTTTCTAAAAAACAACTTTAAGGAGATGAGTTATCATGCCCACTCATCTATCTCCAACCGTGGAGAGGGATGGACAGTTACAGAAAGGATGGAGAAATGGGTTAAACTCAGCTTGCCATCGCCATTAATGTGTTTCCTTCTGCTTCAGGATCATACAATATTTGTCCTTTTGTAACTGACTTATTTCACTCAGTATAATGTTTTCAAGGTTCGTCTATGTTGCAGCGTATATCAAGATGTCATTTCGCCTTATGCCTGAATGATATTCCATTTTACAGATGTGCCACATTCTTTTTATACATTTATTTACTTATGGACATTTATGCTGTTTCCACCTTTGGCTATCCTTAATAGTGCTACAGTAAACATCAATATATATTTACTGTAGCTCTTAAATTTTAATTTTTTAGATGTGTTTTTAGGAGTAGAATTGTGGGATCATATGATAATTCTACATGTAAATTCATTAAGAAATACCAAACATTTTTCTTCAACAGCTATACCAATTTTCAATCCCACTAGCAATGGATATGGAGTCACTGTACCACAAAGAACTGGTCAATGTTCAGTTATTTCAGGTGGTAGCATATTATCAAGAATCAAGGTACTAAATGAAGTCCAATCTGCACTGAAGGCATTCACAAAAAAACGAGGCTCTGAGAATTGACGAAATACCCATTGAGATGTTTTAACAAACAGATGCAGATGCAGCACTAGAGGAGCTTACTCGTTTATGCCAAGAAATTGGGAGGACAGCTACCTGGCTAACTGACTGGGGGGTGGGGGACAGGGACTTCACTGCCATTGAGTTGAATCTGACTCATAGTGAACCCTCCTTGGGTTTCTAAGGTGGTATCTCCTTGGAAGTAGATTGCCCAGTCTTCCTTCCGAAGACTGGATGGTGAGTTTGAACCACCAGCCTTCTGGTTATCAGTCAAATGCCTTAGACACTAGAACAGTGTGTATAAAGAGTGAAAAGGTAAACATTCTAATTAAAATTGTTTTCTTAAGCATAAATACTAGATGAGCTGGTTTCTAACTTATGCTTGACTGCAAAATCTGAATAAAAACTATTACCTGTGACTTAAAAGACTTTGCATTGAAATACAAATACAGATTTAAATATTAAAATGCAAGCCTATAAAATTTGATGGTTAGATTATCACCACGTTTTATAACAAAAACGGTCTTGATACACAGTTGTTAAAACAAAACAAAGCTTTGAGATATCAAAAGAAAATCAATATTTTCTATAAATTATAATAAATAGTTCCAAACTGTACATGACTTATAGGATTTTTACTTGGGCAATGAAATAAATGTTCAATTGATAATATTGGTAAATTTATTTAAAAGATGAGGAGTAAAGCATGTCAACTAAAAGCACAGAATAATTGTGATCATTGAGCATAATTTCAGATTTTGAGATTTTTAGTATGTATATGAGAAAATTTAAATTGACATATCTCATCACTAGAAACAAGACAATGCAAGGAAATACTAAACTGGGGGGTGGGGAGAGAGGAAATGTCCTTAAGAATCCATTGAGCAATAATTTTAAAATACATTTAACCATCATCTTAGAGCAATTGTAAATTACAGGATCTGATGTTATAGAGAATTGGAAACATTACAAGTGTGAGTACAATGCCAAGAACTGAAGTAACTTACATGTCTGACTGAATCATTCCTACAGATGGAAAATGAAGTGAAAAAATGAGAAGGCAATGTCTCTACAGTGATGCAATTTGCACTTCTGGGATTTTCTGACCTTTCAGATCTCTAGGGTTTCTATTTACAGTGGTCTCCAACATTTATTTGATTATTATAACTGGGAATATTGTTGTTTGTAGGTCCCATCAAGTAGGCTCTGACTGATAGTGACCCTATGTACAAAAGAATGACACACTACTTGGTCCTGTGCCAGCTTC